ATTCAGTTTAACTACGAATATGAGAGTGCATTTGTATAATGATATCAATGATGGAAACTATGCTGACACACTATTAAAATTGGCGATGGGCGGTTGAAAACGGTTGCTGAGGGCTGCGTTAAATTGACGACAGATATTGTAATTTAGTACAGATTCACTCCGAATTAATTGCGAGCGTTTATTCAGATTTAACGAACAACATGCATGAAGACAAATGGTTATGTGAAAGGGCGATTGCACGAAAAATGAGAGCGTTAACAAAATAAATTTAGATATATTAAGCGAAGTAGCAGGAGAAATAACAGAGTATTTGTCAGTATACACAGTTATGGACACAAAACAGAGCACTTCATATCCGCAGAGTTTCTAAATTCTCTAGAGTTGTCAGGTGTGCCCTCACATAAGCTTCAATTAAAATTAGGCGTCCCAGTCATGCTAATGCGAAATTTAGATGCTCCTCGGTTATGTAACGGGACAAGGCTCCATGTGACACATCTTGGACGGAACATAATCGGTGCTACAATTTTGACAGGCGTAGTAAAAGGTGAAAATATTATTATACCACGGATCCCTATAATTCCCACAGATCTTCCTTTTTAATTCAAAAGGTTGCAGATCCCTATTAAGCTCAGTTTTGCAATGACAATAAATAAAGTGCAAGGGCAAACTTTACAGGTGGCGGGGGTCAACTTAGAAAAACCGTGCTTCTCTCATGATCAGCTGTATGTAGTGTTCGCGTGTGTCAAATGCCCAGAATCTCCACATTCTTTCCCCGAATGGAAAACATATAACATTGTGTACGCGTCTTAAAATAGTGTTCAGTTAGTGTTTTCTTCCAAAATTCCCACAATCAATCAATCAGAATTCCCACGGATCTTCCCTTTCAATTCAAAATTTCCTATTTAGCTCAGTTTCTTTTCAATTCCAAATGCTGCACCTCTGACGGACCTATTAAGCTCACTTTCCTTTCAACTCAAAAGGCTGCATCTCGGATGGATCTTTTATTTGGCTCAGTTTCCTTTCAATTCAGAAAACTGCATCTCTGACGAATCAATTTAGCTCAGTTTCTTTTCAAAAGTCTGCATCCCTGACGGATAATTATGCTCAGTTTCCTTTAATTAAAAAAATATCCCATTTCCATTTGGAATAAACAGGCTATTTTCATGCTTTCCTATAACTGCGTTTCAAAACATTTAAATAGGCTGACGAATCAATTTTGCTCAGTTTCCTTTTAATGGCTGCATCTCTGACAAATCTTTAAAACTCAGTTTTCTTTCAATTCAGAAATCAATGGATAGTTCATTGCCCAGTGACCATGCGGGCGAAGCCGCGGGTAACAGCTAGTTCTTATAGAAATCATGGTACACTGGATTAATGTACTGAAATAAAGATAAAATATCATTATATTTTTCTTTACTTATTAATAATGGCTGATTGTACGCCTTACGAACATCCATTATTGGCTGATTATTTCGACTGACTCTGGCTTTCCTCTTCATTTCACATATTTTAAACTCGTCTTCCACGACACGTTTCCAAAATATATTACGCCACAGAAATGGTTCGTTATTCTGATCTTTGGTCTTCGTTATAAGCGACTGCTTTAGAATGCTCGAAAATGCAAAAATGTCGTCGTGTGACAATTCTATCACAGTGAACTTACTGCTGACCATTCTCACAAGCATGTACCAGTCATTTGGAATTGAAATTCTTCCATTATATTTCTTCTTGGCTCGCTCGATTGAGGCATGGTCAGCATCACACTCTAAATGTGACTTTTTGCGTAAGAATGTAGTTATATACAACAGGTAATGTGTTGTTGCGGGTTTGCCCGGGACATGTATCTGAATAAATAATAACGTGTTCTGTTTCTTCGGGCAAACTCATTATGAACATTTTTAGGCAAGATGCTATTTCGTCAGCACCACGTTGCGCGATAGCTTCATGCCACATGAAACAAGTAGTTTTCCCAGTGTTACAATTTCTGACTGTGAAATTAAAAGTCCATAGCTGCCTTTTGTGAAATGCTACACTATTATTTAAGTATGGTGTAGCGAGATACTGCTGTAAATCACACACAGCGAAAACGATAGTATTTCCTGATGACTTGGCACGTTGTTTATCGAAAGATTTACATTCGTAATGGAAATTTGCTTTATCCTGATGAGAGACATGTTCGTCATGTAGTCTCGTTTTCTCAGTGTCATTTATTGTAATTTTTATTTTTGCTACAAATGTATCACAAGTATGGCAAGTATCATTATGTGGCTTTTTAAATTTTAAATTGAATGTCTTAAAAATATTACTATATGTAGAAAGGCTGACTATTTTTGTAGTTATGTTGTCAATGGTATGTTGGTCTAGGTATAAGTTATAAATTTTTTGTAAATTCAACCCAGTCTCTAGGTATTTTTTCATAGTGTGTCGTCTTGAATAGTGGCTTTCGTATGCAGGGAAATTAGAAATATGATTACGGACATAATCAATTGCTTCATTTGAATGTTTAATTTTTGGCTCATGTCTGCCTCATTCATTCCGTACAATGACACCTGTAGCTGACTTTTTCTTCTTGTCAATTATGCCATTCACAAAACCACAATTCTCACCATAGACGTTAAGAAAACAATTTTGACAAACTTTTACTAAATTACCTTCATTTTCAATAAAATACTCTACAGATACATCTCTTTTCTTTTTGTATTCAACCTGTTTAACTCTAATTGGCGGTGTTAATAGTATATGGTTACTCAAATGTAAACGTTGCATATCCCTAGTTTCCATAGCGCGGTAATCTGCAAAAACTCTTTGTAATTGAGCATTCGTAAATTTAGTTTTACATTTTAATCTGCATTTTTTTAGTACACCTACAGATTTACCCAATATTTTTTTCCCAGCTTGATTCATGTACTCTTTCCCCTTTTTAATTTTTTCTGTTCTTTCTTTACGGAGTTTTCTTTGCATCATACAGACACTACGCTTCCTTTTTCTTCTAACGTCATCCTGTGTTTGAGAAACCAATGCTGGGACAGCAATACTTCCAATACTTCTAGGGGTAGATGTCTTGCTAGATGACGATGATGACATGTGTTCATCGTGTGTACCAGCAGGGAAGCTTGTTGTCACGCAAAACTTGCTTGACATGGTGGAGGTCGGCAGCCAGGTGTTTACTGTCACAAACCCCTCGTGCTCTCTGGAACAAAGATTTACCCACAGTAGCTAACTGTGAAGGATGGTGGTGAGAATCACCGTTTAAATATCTATCTGTATGGGTCTTTTTTTCTATACACAGTATGGCTCAAGGTGTTACCAGGATTCCGAATTACTAACAGATCTAGAAAAGCTAAAGAATTGTTTGCCTCTAACTCCATTGTTAACCGAATTTTAGAATTTATAGAGTTGAGATGGTCTAAAAATGCAATTACTTTATCGAAAAATCGAGGCTCCGGGAAGTCTGCAGTCTGTGAACACGTACAGGATCGCCCCCGTCACTACATAAGATTTGATAGACCACAAATCCTCGCTAAAGAACACCGATTCCTTCCAAGGATGATTCGCGAGGCTATTGAAATCAAAAAACATCCTAATTTCAATAGAGAAGATGGCTGGGTGCTACCATCTGCTTGGGATCCTATAATAAATTAAATTAAATACCAACCCAAGCATACAACTGCAAGACTTCAAGATACCATAAGTTCATACTGTGTAGATCGGAACTAAAGTTAAATTTTTATCTATGGTAACCTCTGTTAACTATGACATTTGGACGTTGAAGATCTCAGTCCTCCCCGTGACCATGGGTGCTGTAAAGCGCTCGAAACGTCGGGTATTTATAGTTAAATATACGCGATAAAATCTGTAAAAACTAGTATTATTTCAATGTGTAGCGTTCGCGTAAACATAAGAAATCATTAAGATTTTCATCTATTATAATGCCCATGTATTTAAGGGAGCTGACCCTATTTATCTGGTCAGAGTTACAATTTGGAGAGCTCACGGAGCGAAAACTACAGTTATTATTGTGAACTTTAAGGTTATTGAAAAGCGAGGGTGGCGGTTCAGACGCTGCAGTTATATGAAAACAAATTAACTGCGTTTTTGAGGTGTTCAGTGTTAAGATGTTTTTATTTAACCATTTTTGTAATTTATGCAACCCGGAGATGGCTGAAAAGTAGGCGTCGTACCAAGATTTACCATAGAATATTATGGTTGTATCGTCAGCATAACATACAACCTCACTATTTTCAAGTTGAATTGACATAATGTCATTAATGTACGAAATGAAAAGCGTGGGCTACAAGATGCTACCTTGAGGAACGCCAAAATCTACAGATCTAAAATCGCTTGCCTGATCGATCGATTTTCCCTGGCGAAAACCAAACTGACGGTCCGAGAGTATGCTATTCTTTTCAAGATAGTTAGTCAGTCACTTATGAACAACACGTTCCAGGAGCTTCGAGTAACCACCCAGGAGTGATATGGGTCGGTAATTACAAGGATCGTCCGTAGCTCCATTCCTGTATATGGGGATAACTGCCGCAACTTTCCACTGGCTTGGAAAGACTCCCGACGAGATACTTAAGTTAAATATCGCAGCCAGGGGCTCCGCGATTGTGTGGGCTACTGATTTTAAAAGTTTGTTGGTGATGCCGTCCATACCTGGGGCACTTCCTGAATCAAGAGACCGGATGAGACCCAAAACTTCCAGTTCGTCTGTAGGATTCATGAAAAATGAACCAACGGGCTGATCAGGAATGTGAACTTTTTCGGCAAGGAACTCTTGAGTCTCATTTAATTTCAGCATGATAGAGTTTGCCAGCTTATTACCTATAGAGGCAAAGTAGGAGTTGCAAATATCAAGAGACTCCTTTACAGAGGGCCTTGAGTTGATGAGAGCCAGGGGAGAACTTGAGCTAGTGTCTTTGCCAGTTATGCGGTTAATAGTACCTCAGAGTTTTTTTGGAGCACATTTATTTTTAATTATTTATTTTTTTGTTGTAATCTCATTTTAGTCTTCTAATTAGACCTATGTAAAAATTTCTATAGCGCGTATATATAAGTTTTTTAGTTGGGTTGTTTGGGTCCTTGCGATATTCAATATGAAGCTTGTCGCGGTGTTTAGAGCATCTGATTAGACCAGGAGTCATCCAGGGGTGTAAGGTGGTTTTGGAGCGGCTTATTACACATGTTTTCGAATATCTCAATATTGTCTCTGATACCATCTTAGTAAAATGAGTTACAGACTCTTCAAGAGAGCTGCAGTATATTACTGGGGACCAGTCCATTCCCTTCAGCTCTGATCTTATTGAGTCTATGTCAACCATTACTCTTGATCGAATAGGTTTTGGTATTTTTGGTTTGTGTGTCTTTAATGTTATGCCTGCCATAGTGATATCATGGTCAGTGGCAGCATTGAGATATACTACGGACTCCGCATTAGATTTTACGGGTACAAAAATATGATCTATGCAGGTTTTGACCAGAGTTGGTTTAGTTATAGCTGGAAAAAGTCCATACTCTGCTAATACATCTAAGTACTCCGTGTGCAAGTTTTTGTCAGCTGCGGACCCAATAATATTTGAGTTTATGTCTCCAGCAAAAATAAGACAAGGAGAGGGACTACCCGTTTTTAAGATAGCGTCAAGAGAGTGAATAAATGTTTCTGGGTTGGTGTAACTAGGTGATCTGTAAGCGGCTACTACTGAGAAGTGATTTGCAACTTCTGCGAGAATACAATTACCCTCGTCAACGTTCAGCTCAGAAAAGTTGGCTGTCCACCTATCTCTTATGTAGATAGCGACTCCTCCTGCCCTGTTAATATACTTTTTAGAGTAAAATGATGTAAATCCGTGCAATAGGGGGACCGTCGCAAACTCATTAAGCCAGCACTCACTGAAGACAATAGCGTCGAAATCAAGATCCAGTCTTTTTAGGGTTACTAGGAAGTTATCAAAGTTTTTACGCATGCTTCTTATGTTCATGCTTAAAATCCTAAATGAAAATATAGACAGAACGTCTTTACAATCCTCTGGGACCGTTATGTTGTGGTACTTTATCTGAGATGAATTACTTATAGCATCTAACAATTCTAGGGAAGCCATGGGAAGATCGCGAAAAATTGATTGGAGTATTTTGGCATTAAAGGGGAGAGTGCCATATAAACATAAGAAGGGGTGTAGATAACCACGAAATATTTTGAGTAATGTACCATGGGGGAGAAGATGTGTAGGTGTGTTAAAATGTGTGTGTGATTGCGCTTACAATTATATTCAATTGAAGAGTTAAATTCAAAGTTATGATAAGTATATAAGAAAAATGGCGACCATATGGACTGCAAATTAGTGACAAAATATTAATGACTAGGCTCTTAAGGCTCAGGTAACGTTTACTGAGTGGTCGCCGTATCTGGTTTGGTTTGGGCACAGAGCAGGCGGCTGAGATCATTTTCCGACCTGATACGGATTATGGGGCTACCTTCCTTGACATCCCCTTTCCTAATAAATATGGATCCGTTCCGCAGCCAGCAAAACCTGTAGCCATGTTCGACGGTGAAAGCTCTCGCAGTACGAAATAATATATAAAAAATAATTTAAAAATATATAAAAAATAATTTTCGCCGTTAAGACGCTTATTTACGTAGATCAAATTTTCAGGCCCATGATTCAAAATGTCTTTACTCTTTAGGGTTTTTCTAGCTTTCGCGTGTTTAAGGAATTCCTCACGTTTAGCTCGACGAGTAAAAGCAACCTCCAAGGAACGATGAAGTTTACGGTTCCCACCCACGTTAGTATTTATGTTTTGGTTTTTGGGACCAGCTCGGTGCGCATAATTCAAGTCCATGTCCTGAAGCTCAATGCCCAGTTTAGCGGCGACAGTTAATACCAAGCGAGTTGGGTATTCATTTGGTGTTTCTTCTAGACCCGATATTTCCAGCTCGTTTCCTAAGGCAATCTGAGCTTAGCTGTTTAGACGACACTGCAGATCGGCAACGGTGGCCTTAAGGACATTATTTTCTTTTTCAACGGACTCAAGTGACTTAATTCGCCGATCATAGTCGGCCAGTTTGGAGTTCAAGACGTCGAGACATTCGCGAAGGTGGGTGATGTCGTCTCCTATATCAATACTTATCTTGGATAACTTACAATTAAGCAGCGCGCCAAACTGGTCGTATGTTATTGCCGCAGCGTGAGGGGTGAGAGTCGTAGTTGAATTATTATCTACTTGGCTGTCATCCCCCCCCCCCATCGGAGGTTCCCAGAACCTCGTCGCATGACATGTTCGTGTCATGCGACGAAGCCGCAGTAGATAATGGAGAGAGTTATCTACGAACCGGTGTGTTGTCCTCCTTGCGTCGCGTGATCCGATTACGGGAATGGCATTTCCAATACCTTTTTAAGGCTGGAAGATTTTCTTTGTAATAAGCGGAGGATATATTGTAACATTTGTAGTGATAGCATCCCTTGCATGCAGAGCAATTCAGCTGTTCCTCGGGTCGGGTAAATTTATGACAGGCCAAACAAATCATTTTATTTCAAATGACTACCTTGAACCATAATTATTGTGATATAATTAAAAGTTGTGCAAGCGGGTTTTAGAAAGGGAATGGGGTGTACAGATCAAGTCTTTTCCATGCGCATGATTGCGGAGAAGTTTTTGGCCAAAAACCAGAAAGTTTTTTGTGCGTTCATGGACTTGGAAAAGGCTTATGACAGAGTGGACAGGAATGTGTTATGGCAAACACTGAACTCATATGGGTTGAGCGCTGGTTTGATACAGGCATTAAGGTCTCTTTATAGGGACTCTAGTGCTTGTGTCAGGATCAATGGGGTCTACTCGGACTGGTTTGGCATCCAAAAAGGTGTGAGACAGGGCTGTGTGGCTTCTTTTTTGAAAGATGAAGAATGTGGGTTAAGAATGGGCGAGTTAACCGTCAAATGCCTTTTGTATGCCGATGATCAAGTCATACTTGCGTCATCGGCGGCAGAGTTGCAAATGATGGTTACATTAATGAACTGGGAATTAAAAGAAAGGGGAATGAAAGTGAACGCAAGTAAGACGAAAGTGATGGTTTTTGAAAGAGAAGAAAGCAAAACGGTATGTGAAATAAGAATAGAAGGAGAGTTGATTGAGCAAGTGGATGAGTTTGTGTATTTGGGATGTGTATTTAGCAGGGATGGTAGATATGATAGGGATATAGAACGACGAGTAAATGCAGGGAATAGAGTGAATGGGGCACTACACTCTATTATGAAGAACCAGAATTTGTCAAAACAGGCACGTATGGTAATTCATAATGCTGTGTTAGTCCCTACTTTAATGTATGGTAGTGAAAGCTGGGTGTGGCAGAAGAAGCACGAAAGTAAAATAAATGCTGTAGAAATGCGGTCTTTAAGGAATATGCTAGGGTGTAATCTGATTGACAGGGTGAGAAATTGCGTGATAAGAGATAAATGTGGTATGCAAGATGATGTTGTGACCAGGATTAAGAAAGGAATGCTTCTGTGGTTTGGTCACGTAGAAAGAATGAATGAGGAAAGAGTGACTAAGCAAATTTATATGGCAGATGTGAATGGCCGAGTCGGGAAGGGACGCCCTAGGAAAAAGTTTATCGACCAAATTGGCGATATTTTGAAAATGGGCCACGTTAGAAGTACCCTTAACCGACGAGCATGTATGCGTAGATATATGGATGTAAAGGAGGCGAAAGAGGTATGTCAGGATCGTGCCAAATGGAAGTCCGTAGTCTCTGCCTACCCCTCTGGGTGACAGGCGTGAGTGTTTATGTATGTATAATTAAAAGTCAGTTCAGTTGTCACTCAAAAAGAATAATAATTAATTATAATATAGAAAACCTAAAACTAAAAATTTAATTTTATTTCATGTAGCTGTTGTAATATTATGCTCAAGTGACTTTATTTCTAAAAACGCGCAAAGGCAAACAACGCACTGCAGATCTACTAGGAGTCGTAAATGAGTAGGCGGGACGAAGAAGTTTTGTGGTCCGTAGCAATCTCCGTAGCGATTTAAGTAACTGCGCAGACGACGTTACGTGTCGATTCGTCGCCTCTTCGGGTGACTACGGGTTACTTCGCTGCCGACGGTCGTTGACCTTTGTAGCACACTACGATGGACGAACTGAGCGTACACTTGTTGAGGTAGGTCACGGTTGCAATTATTTTCAAAAGAATTTTTGTCACAGTTCCCTAATTATAAGAGGGGATTAGAAAACAGATTGCGGCACTAGAGAGGGCTGTAAACTAGCTTCCAGTAGGTATCGGTTTTGACAGTAGCCACTAAGATTTACACTGTTTTTAGAGTAAGTCTCGCGGAGCAAACGGTTACGGTATTTACTTAGTATCGGTCGCGGAATCACGCCTAACTAATAATAAACTACGAAATGTGCGGTTGCGAAATAATAACGACACAACACGTTATGACGTTTTTTTTATAGAAGAAGGGGCAAACGAGCATGCGGCTCACCTGATGTTAAGAGGATAGAGTAAGTCAGCTCAAATTCTAATTTCGCCCCCACTTCCCCGCGCGTCGTATGCTATGTAGCGACATGTTTGTAATCATTAATACTGTAAGAAGAAAGGTCGTTAGAGACTTATTTCATTAGGTTTATCATATTTATGCCTGTTTCTTAACGCCAACCCAGTCGCTTCTTATTTTTATTACGTTTATTTCCCATTTTAATTTTACGTCGTCATGTTGCGTAATATGTATTCTGATCGTAAGCGACACAACTTCTCCCTTCAAAAGCCGGAGCGATACTAACGGGGCGACAGGAATCAAGCTTACGCGCCGATAGTTTAGGTAATTTCTTTTTTACAGTGAAAATAATGGTATTTTAAAAAAATAAATAATATAAGCACTGCTTTATAGTTAGTTCAGTTAGTATGCAAAGTTTCATGATCTTATTTAAAGTATTTTATGAATAACAACGGTTTATTGTTTATTTTGGAGGTAACTTTGGATTTTTTTTTCTATCGAGAAAATTTTACGAAATCGTATTTTCGTCTAACATAATCCCTAACATTAATCCTCAACTTTACCATATATTTATTTCAAAATTAATGCTGCAATATTTTCGGCATAACGAAGGATCTTGCTAAGCCATTTGACATTATATTTCCCCTTAAGGACGCGTTTTCAAATCAACCAAAATTAGGGTGTTTTTCGGTACATTTTGTGACAAAACTAAACCAAATCAAATATAAGTAAAAACTACCATGTATAGATTGGTTCTTCATCTGCAAACATCTGTAACTCTATTGTTGAAAATAGTAGTTTTTTATATTGTAAAAACGAACTTTCGTTGCCATTTTCTACAAAATTAACGATACCGGCTTGTGTTTCGGTACATGTTTTGGTCTATTATCAACATATTTAAAAAATTTAAAAAATACTATAAGATGACAGACATATTCAATTAAAAAACCCTGGGTTTATTTTTTAACAAAATGTCACAAATAGTCGTAAAAAAAATAAAAACTGATGCACATTTTTTCACATATTTTGGTAATACGGATGAATCATAATCTATTGCAATAAGGGCTATTTTATTGTTGGTGCCTGCTTTGATTTATTGTACAAAGATTTCGTTGAAACCACAGTCCGCGCTCGGCCGCCGTCGTGAGTGGACACTGTATCGCCTGTTTGCAGCGGCTCATTCTGAAAAGATCGCTGTACATACACAAAATATTAGAAAAAAACAAATTGGAAACATAAGTACTTGACAAGTGATAAAATTATTATTTTTATACTCACAGTTTTTTATTTAGCTAAAAATAAGTAGAATATATAAACTTACCTACTACTGCAACTCCTGGACGAGCAGAACTAGGTGTGCCGAGTTTGGGCTCGTTTTGTTGGTTATGATGAGACCTTACCTCCGGACTTGATGGCGTGACCTGAAGGTGTACTTTCGTGACCGCTATTTGAACTTCTTGCAGAGTAAAACTAGGGGTGGCGAATTTGGGCTCCGTTTTGTTAGTTATGACGAGTCCATACCTCCGGACTGATGGAGTGACCTGAAGGTGTAAATCGGTGATTGCAACTGGAACTCCTAGACTGGTAGAACTAGGTGTGCCGAGTTTGGGTTCGTTTTGTAGGTTATGATGAGACCTTACCACCGGACTTGATGGAGTGACCTGAAAGTGTAGTTCGGTGATTACAAGTGGAACTCCTAGACTTGTAGGACTAGGTGTGCCGAGTTTGGGTTCGTTTTGTTAGTTATGATGAGACCTTACCACCAGACTTGATAGAGTGACCTGAAGGGGTAATTCAGTAACTACTGCTGGAATTTCTGAACGAGTAGAACTAGGTGTGCCGAATTTGGGCTTCGTTTTGTTAGTTATGACGAGTCCATACCTTCGGACTTGATGGAGTGACCTGAAGGTGTAAATCGGTGATTGCAACTGGAACTCCTAGACTGGTAGAACTAGGTGTGCCGAGTTTGGGTTCGTTTTGTTAGTTACGATGAGACCTTACCACCGGACTTGATTGAGTGACCTGAAGGTGTAATCAGGTGGTTACAAATGAAACTCCTAGACTAGTAGAACTAGGTGTGACGAGTTTGGTTTCGTTTTGTTAGTTACGATAAGACCTTACCACCGGACTTGATGGAGTGAAATTCGGCACACCTAGTTCTACTCGTTCAGAAATTCCAGCAGTAGTTACTGAATTACCCCTTCAGGTCATTCCATCAAGTCTGGTGGTAAGGTCTCATCATAACTAACAAAACGAACCCAAACTCGGCACATCTAGTCCTACAAGTCTAGGAGTTCCACTTGTAATCACCGAACTACACCTTCAGGTCACTCCATCAAGTCCGGTGGTAAGGTCTCATCATAACCTACAAAACGAACCCAAACTCGGCACACCTAGTTCTACCAGTCTAAGAGTTCCAGTTGCAATCACCGATTTACACCTTCAGGTCACTCCATCAAGTCCGGAGGTATGGACTCGTCATAACTAACAAAACGGAGCCCAAATTCGGCACACCTAGTTCTACTCGTTCAGAAATTCCAGCAGTAGTTACTGAATTACCCCTTCAGGTCACTCCATCAAGTCTGGTGGAAAGGTCTCATCATAACTAACAAAACGAACCCAAACTCGGCACACCTAGTTCTACTAGTCTAGGAGTTCCACTTGTAATCACCGAATTACACCTTCAGGTCCCTCCATCAAGTCCGGTGGTAAGGTCTCATCATAACCAACAAAAAAAACCCAAACTCGGCACACCCAGTTCCATTAGTCTAGGAGTTCCTTTTGTAATCACCAAA